AGAGAGAGAGAGAGAGAGAGAGAGAGAGAGAGAGAGAGAGAGAGAGAGAGAGAGAGAAAGATCTCACCCAGCCACCACACTGACTCCAGATCTGCAGATCTACAACATGAAGGAGATTGGGGGAAAAGAAAATAGCAAGGGGAGGTGGGAACAATAGAATTTGCGGTTTTGGGAATGGGGGCAGGGGGTTAGAAAAACACTAGATAGTGGAATGTACCTTGATGTGGCTGGTCATAATGTGCCTTGAAGGAACGGATGAAAGACCATATGTTTTTAAAAAATTACCTCGACCCCCACAGCCTATCATACGCTCTGGTCACAGCCCACCCATGGCAGAAGAGGGCCTACCCTCCTCCACTTGGGGTAACCTTCCTTCCTGTTTGGTGTTCAAAAAAAAATTGATTGGTTTTGTTTTCTTTTATTTTTGAAAAGAACTGGGATTTGGGCATTGGGGGGATGTGCCATGTTGTGCTCCTCTCTTGCTTTCTTTTGTGGCAAAGGGGACAAATTCTGTCCCCCCAACCATTACTAATTAACGTGGAGCATATTCCCCCTCACCCTGGGAAATTTTTTTTTTTGCAGGGTCTTAATTGAACTGAACTGAAACGTGCTGCTTCCATTCCAATCCAGTTCACCTGGATTTGCACAAGTAAACATTCCTATAATTCTGTATCTCATGGATCAGAACTGTCAGTCTTTGCTACTCCAAAATCTGCCGTTCAAGAAATGGAATGGGAAACAAATAAATACTGTTCCTCCCCAGATCCCTTCACTGAATGGAGTTCTTAATGGATTGTGCCCCCTAGATCTGAACTGCTCATCTCCTATTCTACTGACCTAGATGGTGATGGGCCACATGAAAGGGCTCTCTTTCAAAATGCTATCAATAGTGGGAAAGAAGGGGTACCTTTTGAGCTCTTCAGGGTGGTTTACCCCACCATCTCACAGAACTACTTTATCTGACAGCAGGGGTCCCTTCTGAGTGAATTCATTTTTCCTGAATTCAGGAAAATATTTTTTAGCCCTCTTCTTTAACTAAAACAGACTCACAGGGTAATTTGCATATAATTTAGGAAATATTGGACAAAAGAAAAAAAAGAATGGGATGGAAGTGAAAAGAAGCAAACTTATGCAATATTTGGCTGTTAGGTAGCAGAATTGCCTAATTTCTTGCTCACAAAATAATTATATTTGGAACACTGTATCTCATACCATGTATTCATAGCACCTTCCCCAACGCGGTGTCTTCCAGATGTGTTGGAGTCAACTCTGCCAAGCCCTAAAATTGGCATAGTCATCAGCCATTGAAGTTCAAGGTAAATACTGGAACTGCATTT